CTCTAAAGACAAATGAATTGAATCCAACAATCATATCTGAAGCACCTAGTATGCAGCAGACACTCTGATAGGTGTTTGGAATAGAAAGACAAAAATGAAACACAGCCAGTTCCCAACTGGGGAGAATAATGAATCCCATCAGATGGTTGCATGTTTTCAAATTCATGCTATTCAAAATTATAATTATATAAAATATAGTCACTGGTTCCAGACCAATGAAAATATGTGGTACAAATTCAAATAATGTATCTACTTTATAGGATTCATTATAACCACTAAATAGGGAACTGGCTATAGTATCTGACGTCAAGGAGCTTCCATCTTATTGGAAATATACAACTTGGATGTGAATGAGTAAATACAAGATAATTTCAGGAGGGAAAGAGTGCTAATTCCCAGAAGAATTGGTAAAGGCTTCCTGTAAAAGCTTAGCTTTAAAGGAAGCTAAGGTTTCCAAAAATCAGAGATAAGGATGGAACGAGTACCTTTCAGACACGTCCAAAGACACAGAGGGAAAATGATCTTTCTAGAATGCATCTTGCCTTGTTCTTCAGTTGTTCAATCATGTCCATCTCTGCATGACTCCGTGGACCACGTTATTACCAGGACCTTCTATCCTCCACTATCTCTCAAAGTCTGTCCAAGTTCGTGTTCACTGCTTCCATGACACCATCTATGCATCTCATCCTCTGCCATTCCCTTTTCTGTTTGCCTTCAATCTTTCCCAATATCAGGGTCTTTTCCAATGAGACCTGTCTTCTCATTATGTGGCTAAAGGCATCTAGCCTTACTGGTCTCTAAAATTTAAGTTTAGGATATGTGTAACAAGACTTCCTTACTTACTCATGTGTCTATATACAGAATATGATCATCTGTCTTATGTTCCCATGTGCATTCAAACCTTCTTGATGTAAGGGAGTCTGTCATAATCCCACTGTATCTAAATAAGTAGCTACACACACTTGAAGCAAGTCACTTATGTTTTTTCAAAAATCAGTTTCCTCATCTGTAAAATGGGGGATTGCACTAGGTCCCCATTGAGATTCGTCTTAGCTCTAAAGAAGTGTGCTCCAATCATACAGCATGTGTTTACTAATTATAATGCTGATAACAATCATTGCAACAGTGAATGCCCTATCTCCAAATCCTCAGGCCCTAGTTGCACAGACCACAGAACTCTAATAATTCTACAGCTGCCAAACTGCCACAGTTGGGGCAGATCCTGGAAAGTCGCCATGTAGTTGGGCTTCCAGTTATCTCACAGAGGTCACTGTGAAAGAACAGGCTGTGATGTGTTGCTGGGGAAAGTAGGACAAAACTCCATAGCCTTTCAGAATTCTCCAGCCAGCTAAGCCATTACTTTGTGCATTGAACAGAGGGGTTGCTGGGATGAGGTCAAGAAAGCTCCTTTACCACAGTGTTTCTCAGACAGGACAGTATGTAACCAAAGAACTAAAATGAGTTTGTGATCATAAGTTGTGTTCCATTTGAACTGAGAAACTATGGATTATAGCTGAGGCACAGAAGGTAGCTGAAAAACCAGGCTGATAGGACCAACTCAAAGAGCTACAGTCTCTCTTCTGTAGTGGAAAGGCCTATTAACCATAGCACCTCCAGTCATCTCTAGAGTTGGTGAAAGAGCTGCAACCACTAGCATCCATGAGGGATTAGGTGATCCCGAAAAATGGCTAAACTTGATGACCAGGTGGTACAGAGAATAGTATCTGGTGAAAAGCATGAAAGAAGTACCTGTCAGGGAGCAGGTCTAGAAGATGGCAGACATCAATAGAAGACACTGTCAGTCTTGCAGCATCATCGGCATAGCTTGTCCCTTTCTTGTACATATCCTGGCCATACACACTTCCTATGTGGGGATATCCCACACATAACTGCCATAAAGGCCACCCTATATGTTTTCATGGGCAGTGAGCTCATGCTTTTATTTCTATTTAAATAAAATGCCTTCATTAAGAATGGCATGTTATACTAATGCACTGTTGGTAGAGTTGTGAATTGATCTAATCATTCTGGAGAGCAATTTGGAACTATACCCAAAAGGCTATCAAACTGTGCATACCCTTGGATCCAGCAATACCACTACGAGGTCTGTATCCCAAAGAGATCATAAAACAGGGAAAAGGACCCACATGTACAAAAATATTTATAGCAGCTCTTTCTGAGGTGGCAAAGAATTAGAAATTGAGGGGAACTTATCACTTGCAGAATGGCTGAACAAGTTGTGGTATATGAATGTAATGGAATACTATTGTTCCATAAGAAATGGTGACCAGGTGGATTTCAGAAAAACCTGGAAAGACTTGTATGAACTGATGCTGAGTGAAATGAGCAGAACCAGGAGAACATTGTACATGGTAACACCAACACTGTGTGATGACCTGCTTTGTTAGAATTAGCTCTTCTCAGCAATGCAACGATTCAAAAGACTCATGATGGAAAATGCTATCCACATCCAGAGAAAGAACTATGGAGTCTGTAAGCAGATCAAAACATACTATTTTCTCTCTTTTTTTTCTTTCTCATGGTTTTTCCCTTTTGTTCTGACTCTTCTTTCACAGCATGGCTAATGTAGAAATATGTTTAATATGATTACACATGTATAGCCTATATCAAATTGCATGCTGTCTTGGGGAGGAGGGAAAACTTAGAACTCAAAATCTTACAAAAGTGAATGTTGAAAACTAAAAATAAATTAATTAATTAAAAAAAAAAGAATGTCATGTTATTTAGCTTACCGGTAAAGGTAAAAAGCACATTGGTGAGGGTTCATGAGCTTTGGTTTGAAAGGATTCTGAGCCACAAAGTACGGAGTACATAAGCTATCTAAAAAAGGGGCACAAAGTAGGGGGAAGGGCAGGTTACATCTCCATATCAGGTGACTGCCACACAGCAAATATGTTGTTCCCAGGAGCAATGCTGGCTCTTAATTTCCCAAAATGTTCTCCTTTTCATCCCTCACAAAAATAAACAAATAAACAAAACATCCACCCATCTCCCTAAATCAATAAGCCAAGAATTGCTGTGCTTGCATTGAAGCAGATCACAAATACGTATGTACCCACTTGGAAGACAAAACATTAAAACAAGCAGCCCCACAATGGTTTAGGCCAGCCCAGATCACACATATTTAAAGAAATGGCTAAAATGATTTCAGTCATGTATCCATTTCAAGTACAGCTTAGCCTTGAGGAGATGGAAGAAATCAATTATTCTGGTGGGTTTGGGGTGTTTCTCTCTGATGTATTTATCTAAAATTATTTATTGAGTGAAACACAAACAAGTTCTCTTGGCAAAGCAACACAGAGGGCGGGGCAGGCATGGGGGTCCCCATTTAAGGTCACTGCTATTACTGTTATGGATTGTGAAATGATTACAAAAGAAGGGAATGAATGATTGTTTTCCCATTTCTGTCCTATTTCATTACTCTTTGATTTCTCCTTTTCCATTATCTACTGGCACCACTGTTGCTCAGTGTCATCCCCTTATAGATCCCCAAACAAAAAAGTAAAAACCATAAGAACACCTTCGGTAGCATCCATTTAGTGATAACCAAAGCAACCTTCTTTTTTAGAGATGTGACAATTCTACAATACTGGCCCTGGAAGACATCTTGGAGATTATCTGGAATCCAACCCCTTCATATTAAAGATGAGGAAACTAAAATCCAGTGGGGATAGGTGACCTGTCAAAGGTTACAAAGCTAGTTAGTGGCAAAGCTGGGACCAAATTCTCACCTCCAGTACTAGTCCTCTCTGGCAAAATCCTCAAAGTCACGGCTAATGTTGTCTCTTCTGCTCACCACAATGACCAGACCACTACTGTCTTGTGTAGGATATTATAATGATTTTCCAAGATGTGAAAAGTACAAGACCAGACAGAATGTTTACCCTCTATTTCCAATCCTGCTTCCAGAGGGCCCTTATCTATTTCAGTGCTCTCTTTTCTTGCTCCCAGTTCCACCCAGCAAATTTACTCACTACCCTGTTCATCCTATCTCCTCACTCTACCTCTAAGACTTTTTAAACTATCAACAGAAATCTACCAATCATCTATTATTTTAGGGCAGTGGAAAGAATGTAGAATTTAGAGTCATGGGATCTGAGTTTAATTCTGAATTTTCATTAAACTTTTAAACTAACTTTCCACCTGCGTGACCTTGGGTAGGTCACCCTTATCTTCCCAGGCTTTCCTCATCTGTAAAAACAAAAAAAGGGGGGGGGGAATTTGGTTTATATGTATTCCCCTTCTTAGAATGAAAACTCCCTGAAGGAAGGGACAGTTTCATTTCTTGCCTTTGTGTCTCCAGCATTTAGTCAGTCAAGAAATGTTTATTAAATGCTTACTATGTGTCGGGCACCACGCTAAGCACTGAGGATGAAAAGAAAAACACAGTCCCTGCCCTCGTGGAGATCACAATCGAATAGGGGAAGATACTACATAAAAGAAGCTGAAAAGGCAAGGTATGGGACATGATGAAGCCCAGAGGAGTGCAGGAGATATGAAGAGATGATTCCCCTGGACACCTTCCTTAAAGAGAGCATGTGGGAAGAACTCTCCACACTGTACCAAGGGAGAGACCACAGGGGCAGGGTTTCTAAGGAGATTTGAGTCTCAGGGTTGATGTGCTCTTGCAAGATGATGAGATTGACATTCTACAGAAGTTCCCATCACCAGAGGGAAGTACAGCTCTATGCACCTACTAGGTGCTTAATCTAACATGATCTTCCCAGTGATACAGATTTTGATGTGTTCTATGGCACAGGTCAGGTCTAGTATCTGTAAAGATTTGTGTTGCATTTGAAACCAGTCAAATAAAATACAGAAATGTCAAAAGGAAAGAGGAAATTAAAGCTATCACAAGGGCTTCCATCATCCTGTACAAATCAATTTCAATTTATAGCAATTACCGATCCGGTACAATTTGTACTAATTACCAATCATTACTACAATTTATTACTAAATACCAGTAACAAGTAACTGACCTTGTGGAGAGCAGGCGCCAACACTGGGACTAAGAACCCATTGTAAATGTAGTTGACAAGCTGGTTACGAATCAGGGGATGGGCAACCTAGGAAAGAAAGATCTCGTCACTAGAAAAGCATGACACAATTGTTAGGTTTGGGGTTTTGGTTTTGTTTTGTTTTTTTTCTCCAGTAAAGTCACATCTCCATATAGACTCTGAGCATGGGAAAGAAAGTCACTAAGAAAACCTGCTAGCTCCTGACAAAGAAAAACATTCAAGCCTTAACATTCTGCTCTCTGTTCACTACTAATGATACTTTTCTTGCCCCAGCATTGTTTCTCAGCATTATATTAGCAAAAATTAGACTACCACACCAAAAATTCAGGATATTTTAAGGCTCTAGCAGAGGAAAAGGATAGACTAGAGAAGTAGGATGATGTTTATGCAGAACTTTAACTAGGGCGGGGCAACCAGAGCTTTGTCCCAGGACGGTCAAATTTAGAGAATGTAAAATTTTAATACGTGTGATCTTTCAGCACAATAGAAACTACTGCAGTGACTGATTTGTCTTAATTACTTCCTGCATTATTCTCACATCATAGAATGTAAGCTCTTTGAGACTCCAGATTGTTTCATTTTTTTTAATACTTATAACCTTAGCACTTAGCACCATGCCTGGGTTAGAAAAAGTACTTCATAAATAGTGCTGATTGACTGGTTGATCATGAATCATAAAAACGTTTGAGGGCATTTTCTGATGCTAGCTCCAGGACATTCTGCAATGTGTTTCAGCAGCTTTATGTATCCATATATCCTCAAACTAAATCAATGAATCATTCGTTCCATTGCTTTCTCAGGGTTCCTCTAAGGTTAGCATCCCATAAAAACACTTCCTCATTTACATCGCATTTGAAGGTTTACAAGGCATTTTTACCACAAAAACCTGGACCATTTATCAGTGTGATGGTGTTAAAGCTGGAGAACTCCTTGCATGTTAATTTGCTGCTTATCAGGATCATTACTCAGCTCTTCAGCTACCCACAGCTCCTCAGCTACTGTTTTTTGCACATCAACAAGGTCTTTCAGCCTTCAATCTTTTTATCAGCTCTGTTCACCCATCTCTCATTTGTATCTGTTGGCTGTACTGGCTGCTAATTTGTAAGGGACTCTCCCTCTCTCTCTTTTTCCTTTCCACCCATCTAATTTTGTTTTCCTTCTCTTGTTCTGATTGATTTAGCTTCCCACCATGATTAAGCAAATCTCAGAGAATACTCCTCTGGGTGAAGCTGCTAAGCTTCACTGGCTTCGATGATTGGGGGGTTGTCCTACCAAGAAGACCCAAGAATTTAAAATAGATTCAATGCCTCACACTGGAGATCTTATGTTATCATGAGGGGCCTGCCTGAAAAAAAAAAGTGGGAGAAAAAAAAACAGCAGGATTCCATCAAGGAACATTAGACTTCAATCATTCATTGATTCAGATATTTACACAGATTCTTTATATGCAACACTTCATTACTAGGCTCTGTGGAAGAATAGAATATGTTCTTGACTTCAAGGAGCTCATCATCTTATCAAGTAGGAGAATAGATAGCAGCTAGGTAAGTAGATGATGAATGGAAGAATGGAAGGATGGAAGGATGGAAGGATGGAAGGATGGATGGATGGATGGATGGATGGATGGATGGATGGATGGATGGCAGAACATTTATTAAGCATTTAACCATGTTTGAGGCACTGTACTGAGCATTAAGATACAAATATAAGGGGAGGGAGATAGTCTCTACCCTCAAGGAGCTTTCATTCTAGTGGCAATACATAAGAGGGAGTGGAAAAATGAATGGTAGTGGGGAATGTAGAAGGTATCCAATAGTGACAAGATACAAAAATTCAGAATCTAGAGTGGAGTCAGGTTGGAAGTAAACATGGTGGCTTGGACACTTCTTCAAATGGAGGTTCTAGGGAAGAATTGATTAGTTGGAGGAGGGAGCTACAAGGATGAGGGCATCTCCAGCTTGAGAAAGCAGCTGGGGGGGGGGGGCGGGCAGCTAGATGGTACAGTGAATAGAGCACCAGCCCTGAAGTCAGGAGGATCTGAGTTCAAATACAGCCTCAGACCAAACACTTGACACTTACTAGCTGTGTGACCTCAACTGCCTAAAAAAAAAAAAAAAAGAAAGAAAGAAAGAAAGAAGCTGGGACAGAAGTAGAAACAGCTAGAGAATCAAAAGTAGAGTCAGGTTAGAAGTAGATAGGAAAGACAAGGCATGCTTACAACCAAAAAATAACTATAAGCCTGGGTAAGTTCATTAACTAAGGTAACCTTCTATTTACTCTGTATATATTTTGTATGTACCGTTTATGTATTTTCTCCATCATTAGAATGTGGGGTTGTTTTTGCCTTTCTTTGTATCCCCAGTGCTTAGCAGAGTGCCTGGCATCCAGTAAGCATTTAATAAATGTGTATGGACGAAATGACTAGTTTTAGCCTTTCGTTTCCTTATCTATAAAATAAATGGATTGGCCTAGATGATACCTAAAAGTCTTTTCTAGCTCTAAATATGTAAATATTATGTTCCTGGTGGAATGTAAACTCCTTGAAGATAGGAACTACTTCTTTCTTGTCTTTATATCTCCGTCACCTAGCATAGTGCTTTGCATGAATAATATTTACTTAATAAATGTTTCTTGAACTGAAATTTATACTGTGGAAAGCAGGAGTCAACAACAGTACAAGTATTATTAACCTTATCTTACAGATACGGAATTGAGGCTCAAAAATGTTATATGATTTGCCCAGAGTCATGCAACTAGAGTAAGGGCCAGGACTCTCCTAAATCCAAGTCTGATAATCTCTTGATTACATATGTATGTATACGAGAGTATAATGTCCAGGCATATGATTAAGCAATCTTATATTGCTAGGAGAAGGCATTAGTCTGGAACATAACAAAAAAAGTTATCCTGAAACTGCATTCTAGGACAGATATTTATCACGGGGAGATGAGGGTGGCAGGAGCAATTTATTTAGAAACATGGTTTTGCAGAACAGGACACCACTCCTAAGCAGAGATCACTATCACTGATGCAAGAGAGTCTGCTTTATTCCTTTTAAAACATCTCTTGCATGCAAGAGCCCTGTGCTAACATCTTTTTTAAGTAATCTTTGCAGTAGCACTAAAAGAACTAATCTAAACTATATGATTTCAATTTTGAAACTTATTCCAAAACATATGGTTCTTCTGTCTTTAATGAATCTCATTACGTGGTTTCTCTTTCTTTAAAAAAAATAAAATAAAAAGTGAAAACCAATTACCAGGGGATGGAGACTTGATCTTTAAATTACCGACACTTTCTCAATCAGAGTGCATTTGGGGAGAAAATAACAGTAGTTCCATCTTTTTATTTTTAAACCCTTCTGCAAGAAAATGCTGCGAGACTGCAAGATGAGAGAGAAAAATAATTTAAGATGTAATTCATTTATCTTATGTATAAATAAAGCTTCCCTCATTTGAGTAATAAAAATGAGATGGGAACTTATGTAATTTACCCACATTTTCTTCCAGAAGCTATTTCTTCATTTAGCAAACAAATAGATTATAGCCAACATTCATCAGCCCACAATCACCGTTAAAGTAAATGATTTCTGGAACAAATCAAAAACTCCAAAACAAAGGTAATATTTATGCAGTAAACCAATAAAACATTAGTGGGACCCATTTACTGCCAGAGAAATGTAAAATCTGATTTCTATCTGGAAACTGATGAAGAATTGCAACAAAAAAGCTGAGGGGGAAATCTAATCAAGAGGCCCAGTACAGAGAGCTGTTTATTTTTTTTCAAGCAGACCAATTCTGAAGGAAATTTAATTTGGGTTGCTAAGAAGATACTTAACAACTTCTAAATTCAATAGGGATAACAACATTCTTTAGTCAGTATGCACCATTAAGCAAAATAAAGTGTTTTCCTTTGCAGACAACCATGAAGACCTTGAAGTAAAAATGGTATATTTTAAAAAACATGGACAGCTAAAAATATCTCTTTAATGAGTCAGGAATCAAATTATTGTTGACAATAAAATGGATAAACAAAACAGAATTAGCAATTTTTGGAAGGAGGATACAGAAAGACCCTGCCCCCCCCCCAATTTTGCTTTTCCTTCAAACTTTCTGGGAGCCCATAAAATTATACTTTTATTTATTCAAAGGTATTATGTATAGTTTAAATAAGTCATGAATATTTATTAAGCATTTATTAAAATAAAATGCTGATGCATATCAACTCATCAGTAAATCGCTTGTCCTCTAGATGAAAACCAAATGAGTTGTTCAGGGAGAAAGGAAGGATGCTGGGCTAAGGGTCTGATGCTATGCTCTAATCCTTCCTACCTACATGACCTTGGGCAAGTCACTTTCCCATGAGTGAAAAAAGGGACGCCCTTGTTCCTATCCCAAACATAGGAGCACATCTGTGGAAAGGCACTTGGTAACCCATAAAGTTCTAGGTCAAGGAGACATTTCATTATAATTGTTGTTTCCCTCCAGTACCTGTATGACTGCATTGCAAAACTCCAGGGAATTCATGAACTGGACTAGAGAAGGCAAAAGTGACCAGTCATCCTTCAGAAGGCAGTGCCACTCATCACCCTTCTCCTCAAGTTTCGTAGGCAAAGATGAGTAGAGGCCACTTAATCCCGTTGCTAGCACCTGCGTTCAGAAACAAGAGACATTGTCATTTTTGTTGCTCCTCCAATTCCCACTAAAATGTAAACTCCTTGAGGGCAGTGGCCTTCTCTTATTCTTACTCCTTTTTCTTTGTTTGTTTAGTCTTCCTCAGCATGTAGGTGTAAGCTTAAAATATGCTTGGTGAATTAAGGTAGCATAATCATTTCCCCCCATAATTCTTCAAAGCTAACTCTTCCTTATGGACCTATGGATCACTCCAGCCAAAAGGAATCTCCCTCCAAAGTGGAAAAAGTGGAAAAGGACCCTTGCTCCACAAAAGGTCTTTAGCTCTGCCCTCTGAAGCTTACTACAGGGATGACTGTGGGCAATCATTTGACCTCCCTAGACCTCAGTTTCCTCATCTGTAAAAGGAGAGGGCTGGCTAGACTAGACAGTCTCTGGGACTCATTTCAGCTCTAACTCCTAGATCCCATGGGCATATATAGTGCCCAGCAAAGCACATTAAGGGCTTGGTCACCCCCGGCTAAATAAACAAACCCTCTCTCCTTGACACCCTCTAGTTCGATTTTTTAAAAGACATTACTAGTTTCAGGTTGAGTTGCTAACCATAGCAAGACACAATAGAGGACAGTGGATAAAACGCTAGACTTGAAGCCACAAGACACTTGGGTGTGTATCCTGACTCAGACACATTCAGGTTATGTGACCACTGTGGTTGTTGTTCAGTCATTTTTTTTTTTTCAGAATGAGGAAAGTTTTAATTCCACTATCTTTTTTAAAAATTATTTTATTTTGAACTATCAACAATCACTTCCACAAGCTTTTGAGTTTTAAATTTTTCTCCCCTTCCCTCCCCAAGACAGTGCACGATCTCATATAGGCTGTACATATATATTCCTATTAAACATATTTTCACATTAGTGATGCTGTAAGTAAGAATTAGAACCAATAGGAGGAACCACCAGAAAGAAGAAACAAAAAACAACAGAAGAAAAAAAATAGCAAATAGTATGCTTCTATCTGCATTCAAACTCCATAGCTCTTTCTTCTTTATGGATAACATTTTCCATCAAGGCCTTTGGAGATGTCTTAGGTCCTTGTATTACCAAGAAGGGTTAAGTCTATCAATATCGCACAACGTGGCTGTTATTGTGTACGACGTTCTCCTGGTTCTGCTCACAGCATACAAGTCTTTCCAGGTTTCTCTGAAGTCTGCTGCTCATCATTTCTTATAGCACAATAGTATTCCATTACATTCATATACCATAACTTAATCAGCCATTCCTCAATTGATGGGCATGCCCTCAATTTCCAATTCTTTTTGCCACCACAAAAAGAGCTGCTATAAATATTTTTGTACATGTGGGTCCTTTTCCCATTTGTAAGATCTCTCTGGAATATAACACTAGAAGTGATATTGCTGGGTCAAAGGGAATGCACATTTTTATAGCTCTTTGGGCATAGTTCCAAATTGCTCTCCAAAATGGTTGGATCATTTCACAACTCCACCAACAATGCATTAGTGTTCCAATTTTCCCACATCTTCTCCAGCATTTATCATTTTCCTGTTTCACATTGTTGGCCAATCTGATAGGTGTGATGTGGTACCTCAGAGTTGTTTTGCTTTGCATTTTTCTAATCAATAATGATTTAGAGCATTTTTCCATATGACTATAGATGGCTTTAATTTCTTCATCTGAGAACTGCCTGTTCATATCCTTTGACCATTTATCAATTGGGGAATGACATGTATTCTTATAAATTTGACTTAATTCTCTATACATTTTAGAAATGAGGCCCTTATCAGAGACACTAGTTGTAAAAATTCTTCCTCAATTTTTTTTCCTTCTAATCTTGGTTGCCCCATGTGACCACAAGACAAGTCATTTAATCCTGAAGGGCGCCAGTTCCCCAGTTGTAAAGTGGGAATAACTACTTATTTTGCCTTGCTGTCCCAGTTTGCTTACAGGATCAGCCTTTATATCTAAATCTTTGTTCAGTCATTTTTCAGTCGTGTCTGACTCCACATGACCCCATTTGAGTCTTTCTTGGCAAAGACACTAGAGAGGTTTGCCATTTCCTTCTATAGCTCATTTTACAAATGAGGAAACTGAGGCAGTGACTTGCCCAGGGTCATTCAGCTAGTAAGTATCTAAGGCTGGATTTGAGCTCAGGTCTTCCAGATCCAGGCCTGCCCTATGTGACCACAAGATAAGTCATCTAATCCTGAAGGGCCCCAGTTTCCCCCATTGTAAAGTGGGAATAACTACTTATTTTGCCTGCCTCCAAGATTAGTCACAAGCAAAGGGCTTTACAGACCTAAAAGCACTCTAAAAGTCTGAGCTGTCTTTATTATTCTAAGACAAATGTCAGACCAAGTCATATGTGAACAAATTCATACAGGAAGACCAAGATATATGTTAGGACTAATGAATGAACACTTAATGTCCAAAGCGGAGAGTAATACTTGGAAAATTCAAAATTAGCCTTCACTTACACTTCTAACAAGCTAATTGTTTGGTTCACTAATATATTGTGCCCTAATTATAGAACATTAATGGCCATTAATAATGAAATTTTGTATAATGCTTACAAGTCTCTATTTCACCCCAGATAAGCCATACTCATTTAATAATTTCCTATGTTAATGCATGATAGACATAAAACACTGCTTATATTAGTAATTAGCTTTAGGGATTAAAATATTAACAGAAAGACAGCTGGGAACATTAGCTAATTTGTGGACTAGAGTTCCAGAGATGGTCCACAGTTGACCTCCAAAATAGCATTTGATAGTCTTAAAAAAATGACACACACACATTCTCTCATTTCATCCTCACACCAACTCTTTGGTGTTAGTTATGGCCAGCGTTCCTCCATTTCATAGAGGAGGAAACCAAAGCACAGAAAGCCATAAACTGTACAACATCCCACAATTTGCATGTAGAAGAGCTAGGTCTTTCTAATTAAATGGTCTTTACAATTATGCAACAGCTTTCCCTTGTACCCAGAAATATATTCATTTAAAACAAACAGGGCTGAAGTCAAGTAAAAATGAGTCCTCTTTCCTTTCTCTTCCTATTCAACTTCTCCAAGGTTGTGTGTCTCAAAACTCTTATATCTAAAAGCACAGGATATTAGAACTGAAGGTACCTTAGAGAGGCCATCTAGTCCAGTGACCTCAAATTCAAATAAAAATAGGGGCCACTAATCCATACATAAGGATCCCTATGGACAACATATTGACTTTTTAAAAATATATTAGGTATGTTTTATATTATTTCCACTATTTTTTATTTAATATTTTATTTTTCCCCAGTCACATGTAAAAACAAATTTAACTTTTTTTTTTCAAATTTTGAGTTCCAAATTCTCTCCCTTCCTCCCTCTCCTCTCCCGCATTGAGAAGGCAAGCAACTTGACAGAGGTTATACATGTGTAGTCATGCAAAACACATTTCCATGTAACTCATGCTATGAAAGAAAACACAGACCAAAAGAAACCCAAAAATAAAGAAAGTAAGGAAAAGTATCTTCAATCTGCCTTCAGGCTTCGTCAATTCTTTCTCTGGAGATGGACAGCACCTTTCATCATAAGTCCTTCAGAATTGTCTTAGAACATTGTACTGCTGAGAATAGCTAAGTTATTCACAGTAGATCATCGTACAATATTGCTGTTACTGTGTACAATGTTCTCCTGGTTCTGCTCATTTCAATTCACATCAGTTCATGTAAGTCTTTCCAGATTTTTCTGAGGGCATCCTACCTGTCATTTCTTTTTTTTTTTTTTAACACTTGTCATTTCTTATAGCACCATAGCACTCTATCACAATCATATACAACAACTTGTTCAGACATTCCCCAATTGATGGGCATCCCCTCAATTGCCAATTCTTTGCCACCACTAAAAGAGCTGCTTAAATATTTTTGTACATATTTTTTTTTCTCTTTGGGATACAGACCTAGTAGTGGTATTGCTGGGTCAAAGGGTATCCATGGTTTTATAATCCTTTTATTTCCATTTATTTTGTTAAACATTTCTCAATTATATTTTAATCTGGCTTTGGACAGCACTAGGGAATGTTGTGGGCCCCATGCAGCCCTCAGGCTTTGTGTTGTACACCTGTGCTCCAGTCTAATCCCCTTATTTGTAGGGGAAAAGAAACTGAAGCCCAAAGGAGGAAGAGGTTAGTAAGTGTCTGAAGTTGGATTTGAACTCATGAAGATGAGTCTTGCTGGCTTTGGCTGCCCAAAATGTAATTAGAAGAGTGCTGATCTTAAAAGTCAGATGATTTGGGTTTAAGTCCTGGTATTGACACTAACTATGTGACTCTAGGCCACTTACTCAATTTCCTTGAGTTTCAATCTCCTATCTATAAAATGGGAATAATAATTGCATTACCCAACTTATCAGGTTGTGAGAAAAAGGTTTCATAAACCTTAATATGCCATATGTTGGCTGCAAGCTATTCTATTCTGTGGCTGAAGTAAAAAATATCACTCACGGTCTACATTACAATCAGCCATTTTTTTTTAAGTGAGACAATTGGGGTTAAGTGACTTGCGCAAGGTCACACAGCTAGTACGGTCAAGTGTTTGGTCTGAGGCAGGATTTGAACTTAGGTGCTCCTGACTTCAGGGCTGGTGCTCTATCCACTGTGCCACCTAGCTGCCCCCACAATCAGTCATTTAAAAGACATTTGAGCATCTACTACATTCGAAAGCACTGAATAGATGGCATGTGGGGCAGCTAGGGAGCACAGTGGATAGAGCCAGAAAGACCCGAGTTCAAATCCCACCTCAGATACTAGTTGTGTGACCCTGGGCAAGTCACTTAACTCTGTTTCCTCATCTGTAAAATGAGATGGAGAAGGAAATGGCAATCCACTCCAGTATCTTTGCCAAGAAAACCCCAAAGAGTCAAGCACGACTAAAACAATTGAACAACAACAGAAACATGAACCTTCAAGAAGCTTACCATCTAGTAACAGAAATAAGTGAGCAAAGGAATAATAATAATTG